TTTCTCTTCACTTTTTTGATTGTTTCTTTTGCTGTACAGAAGCTTTTTAGTTTAATGAGGTCCCATTTGTTGATTGCTGACCTTAATTCCTGGGCAACTGCTGTCCGATTTAGAAAATTCTTTCCTACACCTATATCTTGTAAGTTATTGCTAATATTTTCTTCTAATAGTTTCAGGGTTTCCAGTTTCACATTGAGGTCTGTAAGTCAAATTCACTGTTGGGAGGTGCATGTGTCATCCAATTTCCTCCTCCCATGGTCCTTGCGACAGTCTGAGGAAAAAAATTCTCCAAACCCTGGTTTGAAGAATCTTAACGAGTTTATTGGACTTGCTAACTGAACTTGGGGTGCAGGTTTACTTATAGACAAGTGGGCACCCTCCCCATTCACAGCTGTGTTTGAAAGTCCACACCCAGACATAAATCCTGCGGTTCTGGACAGCCTTACAAAATGGCGCGAGACCAGCCTCATGGTTTTCCCAGCTTTTATACCCTTAGCCCCTCCCCTGCAAGTGGCTATGGCCAACTGATTGTCCGAAAGAAGGAAGGGGAGTGGCTTCTTTGCAGAGCATGGGAAGGAGGCGGGTCCATGGCTTGTCATCACAGGGTCAGAGGAACATCCTCCAGGTCACAAGGTCTTTGATTCATTTGGAGTTGACTTTTGTGCAAGGTGAAAGGATCTAGTTTCATTCTTCTTAATCTAGAATTTTTTAAAGTACTGCAATCCAGCTCATACTCATGGAGGAGTATAATAGATGAGCAACTGTTTATTTAAATGTTTATTATTTCTGTCCTATCTCAAGGCTATAACCAGTATACGTGGGACTTCTCAGAGTGGGTGGCAGTTGGACTGGAGGCTGACAATGGAGGATTAGGGCTGAAAAGTCCTGATGGACCAGTGTCATCCTTCAGTTGCTAGACTGTGAGACATTGGAGGAAGGATTCTGTGAGAGTGGGTGGTGGTCTGGTGGTTGGCAGAGCATTAGGATAATAGCCATTTACAATAGTAAATAAGTTTTTGAATATTTTAATAGCCTACCTAGGATTACTGGCATCCCCTATCATGTCTGCTTTTAAAAATTATTTGGGGCAGCTTAACAATGTTGAAAGGATATATGAAACATCTCAAAAATAAGAACAGGCACCAAAACCAAAAATAAACAAAAAGCACATAGATATTTTACATTTTATATGCTTTAGAAAGGAGAGATGTACCCAGCACCTAGAATGTCTTAATGATTGTAAATGAGCTTTTGTGCACTGAAGATATGTGTTTTAAATATATAAATTAGGAAAATGTATGAGTAAAGTTATACCTTGCAAGGAACAGGTTAATAAATATCTTGGGTATTGCTCCTGGAGAAAATAAAGCTCCACAAACAAATGTTCATAATATGAATATTAACTATAACTCAGACAATGAATTTCAGCAAAGTCTTTTTCCTTACAACTTTTTAGCTTTAGGTGATCAAATACATTGCACATTAATTATGGTACATTGGGTTAGACAAACTTGGAAGAAAATATAAATGGAAATTTTTAAAAAGGTATAAGATAGTAAAGGCAAACAAAATGATTTATCTGATAATCTATAGACATTTGTACTTCCTTGATGTTTCTTGCAGAAAGCATATTCTGAGACAATTCTCAAGCATGTATTATTGACTAAAATACCCTGGAGCACTGTGTTAGTTACTATGCTACTTTTCTCATAACTGTGGCAAAACACCTGGCAAAAACAGCTTAAGAAAGGAAAGCCTTATTTTGGTTCATAGTTTCAAAGAAATTTCAGTCCAACATGATGGGGAGGACAAGGCTGAGTGGCTCTGTGTACAGTAAC